ATGTGTGCTAAAGTTTCTTTTGCGTAATAATGTTCTACTTTATTATCATTATTACTATGTTACATGCATGTATATGCATGCACATACCTTATTTTACCATTTTAACATTTTATCTTTATCCAATAGTTTATGCCATTTTATTCTTATCAGATAGATTATGTCTGCTTTATTTTAATCAGATAAATTGTACATGTTTTATTTTTACTTTTATACTTTATGCTACTTATTTCATCTTAAATATTTTATTTTTATCAGATAAATTATACTATGTATTTGTTTTATTTTTATTTTATTTCATTATGATTATTATTATTATATATATATTTTTTTAATTTTTAGGGTGTCACAGTGGTGGAGGAGGGAAGAGGCTCAGATAAAGTTATTTTACTAAAAGCAAGTAATTGTTATTTGTAAGGAAGCATTGAACAAACACTCAGCTTAAATACTAAGTCTCAACGGGCAAACGAAATAAAAGATAAAACCATCTTTATCTTTGCCTTGAGATGAGTAATCAAGTTGTGTGTAAAGATTTGATCCATGTCACAAGAAGACAAAGACCAAACCATGCCGCCTCAGTCAAGTGGAACAAGAAAGTAGATCAAGCAATGGTCAAGATTGAGCTCCTCAGCGAATGGTGGAGATTCAACAACAAGTCTATAAATACAGAAGGAGTGTCGGAAGAAACAAGTGGAAGAGACAAGTGGAAAAGAAGGGAATCAAGGTTTACAAGCACACATCCAGCCAGCTGATTCTCCTTCACCACTTCGGTTCTCACCCCACTCATCTAATGCTCTTAGAATAACTATAATTCATACAAAGCTATAGATATTAGATTAGTTGGTAGTTTAGTTTTCACCTATGTAAACTAGACTAGTGTGAGACATTGTAGAGGGCTTTGTGTTCAAATCCAGAAAGTGAGAAAGGGCAGGGACATGAGTTGTTCTTGGCAAGTCAATGCCATTATTAAAAAATCTTGGAGGACTGAGTAGCTTGGAATGATGTTCAAATTCCTTGTGAAAAACCTCACAATCTATGCCTGGGCCAATGAAAGATGGGCACTAACTATCCAGTAAACTTTCCAGTTCACTGTGAATCAACTCCTTGTTTCTGTTCATCAAAGATATCTATTTCTATAGGTCTAAGTCTTTCATATATACCTATGTGTTAAGACCTATTCTAAAAGCCTATCAATGTGTTAGAGTATAGTTCATCGCTATGCCTTAACCTTTGAAGCAGTTCAACTCATTTCAGCAACCTGCTCCTAAAGGATTTGGCAGTCAGCTCCTAAAGAATTTGGCAGCCTACTCGTTGAGTCAGCTGATTCTGGAAAACACATTTGAACCTTGTTTCATCCATCTCCTCACAACTAAATGGGTCATAACCTTTGTTTCTATAAAGTGTCACAGTCTTGAGATCAAGACTTCCGCTGTAGGTTTCAACATCTCCCAAAAGATGTTGGAACTCATTATGTTACAGGAAAAAGGGTTGAAAAATGAAAAGATTCAAAAGTCTATGAGTTCCAACATGTTCAAATATTTCTGTTAGAACTCATTCTGGAAGACTTTGTGTTCAAATCCAGAAGATGAGAAAGGGCAAGGACATTAGTAGTTCTTGGAAAGTCAAAGCCATTAGTGAAAAACCTTGGAGGACAGAGTAGCTTGGAATGATGTTCAAATTCCTTGTGAAAAACCTCACAATCTATGTCTGGGCCAAGGATAATTGTAATGGGATATTGAGATTAGCAATCAGTGACGGACTTAAGCATCAGAGCTCAGGGTACGCACAAATATATATGTATAGCTCAGGGTATAAAACAATAAGGACACAACACTACTCACAACACGACGCAACTTCATTAGTATTAGACACTACAAAACCGTTGGAATAGATATATAAACCGTTGGAATAGACATCATTTGACTATACGAACAAAATTATATGTTATTCTGATGAAAGTTTCAACGTGGGTATATGTTCCGTAGGTATAGACCAACACTAACATATTTTCTTATTGTTGGAATAGCTCATAAAGATATACCAACCAAATAGTGTGTGTGTGTTAGTAATTACATCAACTGTTAGTACGTATAGATCTTAACTAGTAATACTTAATTTTTTGCTACAGCAACGGTGGATATACCATTGAAATTTCTCTACTAAAATTATTTTCTAATTTATATGAACCAACACCCACACATTTAAAAATATAATTCCAATTTGATGTCAAAATAAAAAAAATGCATTCAAAAAAATATTCGAATTCCTAATGCAAGTGTCTTTATATAGTGATCGAATAGCATCCATGCTGAACAAATAAAATATATTAGCTAATAATAATAATACTTTTTGACGGAACATAAACAAACTCTTGGTTGCTAAATACTAAAAAATCCAAATTTAATACTAGTATAAGAATTTCGTTTGAATGACAAATCCAATTTTCATCTTGTTGTCCAAAAGTTGTTTTCTCTAGTCCAAAAGTACAGCACTTGAAATAAAAACAATAGCACATGACCAATGAATTGTTAGAGGAAACGATCATACGTAGTAATATTTAATTTTACAAGTTTCAAAGAACAGTCCTAGTTATTGAATGCTTGATCAAGTCCATGTAGAAAAAAGAATCTAATTTCCTAAAATTATCAACCAAAATGGCCTAATCAAACACTAGCACGAAAAGAACACATTCTAGATCAAGTTTGCAGCTGCAAACCACAAGTCCACAACCATGTATGGCGAATTGAGGGCTGAAAAATTCTTCTAACTTACCACCATTCTTTAAAAAAATCTGTGACAATTCACAGTTGGCACAAAGTTGTAAACGTCATTCCACCATACCTGCCTTTTGTCGAATAATAAAACAAGACAAGAACTATTTTGAGCAAATTTTTTAACCATATACTCCGTACGTAGTATTATTTGAGGTTTAGGTGCAGAGTATGCACTGTACCATAAGCAATAAGAAAAGTAATATAGTTGTTAACTATTTCACGAATTTTGATGATTTGTTTATAAATCTGAAAGGCAATGAATTTTCAGTGCATAATAATATGTTAGATGTATATTGTACATATAGTAATTAACCATCAAACTTTTCCCAATATCAAACTGTAAGTTTAACCATCAAACATGGATGTCATTGTAAATTGTGAGCAAGATTGTATGGCATCGTAAACAAATGAAAATGTCCAGAATTCCTCTATAGAAGCATTGGATTTCGCTAATTCGCTCAAATTAATTTTAAAAAAACTCACTTGTGGTATAAAGCAGCTTCCTTGGAGCATGGAATTTGCAAAAGCAAATCTAATTAACTACTTCCTTGGAGCTTCCTAGTATGAGTTTATACAGGGGCGGACCCAGGAAGTTTATCTTGGGAGGGCGGTAACTTAAAGAAATATTTTTTGGGAGGGCGAAAATTATTTTTTGGTATATATATACACTAAAAAAAAATTGTTGGAGGGGCCACTGTCCTCTGGGTCTCTACTACGGTCCGCCCCTGAGTTTATTCAAACGTTATCTACAGAGTATGTACTAATGAACAAACGTTAACTAGAGTATAAACGACAAGCTTTTCATACCACTTTGTTTGCTTGGGTTTAATGCACCAAACCCCCCTGTGATTTGGAAATTCGGCGCATTAGCCCCCTGTGATTTAAAAAATGCGTCAAACCCCCCTGTGTTTTAATTAATCATGCGCCAAATCCCTTATGTGAACAAATTCAATCATGGGCGTAGCAGGGGGTGGCCATCCCTGGCCATGGCCCAACCCAAATTTTAAAAATGTCTAAATTTTTAAGGTAAAAAATTCAGTGTAAATTTTTTTCCAAAAATATTCTTTGTACCGGCCCAGTCCGGCCCAGTGTCCTGGCTCCGCCCCTGAATTCAATTGTCAAATAAAAGAAAAATGATTAACATTTTTGTATGATTCAGAGATTTTGACATATTTATTTGCATATTCATTCAAAATTTTAGGAAAAGAGATTTTCAAATCGTTAAATTTATTCATAAAGGGGGTTCTGTGCATGATTAATTAAAACACAGGGGGATTTGACGCATTTTTAAATTACAGGGGGCTAATGCGCCGAATTTCCAAATCACAGGGAGGTTTGATGCATTAAACCTTGTTTGCTTGCCAAGACTGACATGTACTGCACGCCTTGACCACTCATACTAATCCCATTCACTGGTATAACCATCATAGTGAAAAGGCATAATCCGAAAATCCTCTGAGAACTAAAAACATCATTGCATAATATCAAAATTAGATACATAAAAATCCAAGAGTGGACAAACATTAAGGTCTTAATATAATTCCTTAATTATTATAACCTTTTTAATTGACGCATCAATATAGTTTTTTTGTACCAGATCAACTATTTACTCTCCTGCCAATTTCATATATATATATGTGTGTGTGTGCATATCCTGGACTCTGATGCGTGGGTCCACCATTGTGGTCGTGACCCTGCAAAAGTCTAGTGTGCTGTGTGTCGGTGGAGTGAGCGGACAAAGGGCTACCTGTCGGCGTTCAGTAATCGTCCGTTAGTGATTGGATGGACTCGTTAGAATTAAACTTGGAATTGAATTACGAAATGGTTGTCGCGCGAAGGGCGTGTGACGTGTCCGACAGCCGGACCCACCGTTTTACTCTAGCTTGTCTAATGTTCCTTGAAATGGGCTGCCTCAATACTACTATTATCATTGGTTAGGCCTTCAATATTTAGGGGCATGTGCCATTGGGCTGGGTACCCCTACTATGGGCTGGTCCTGAGCAGCAACCAAAACCACATTATTACACAAGTACAAGTAAGATCAGATAAGATCTTCTTTGATTCGATATTTCTATATATCATGCTTGGCAACCCATGCATTCATGACACTTGGAAAAATATGCTCCTTCTCATGCAATGCTGTTGGCCATACGGGATACAGCTTTATCATCATTTAAGCTAGTAATCGAAACGTGCAAGATGCCATAATATATTCTCTTCTTAACAGTAAACAAACAATCAATGATCCTTGCGTAAATTTGTTGTATAAGCGAACTCCAAACTTCTGAATAAAAGGAGGTGATATCTCTATTGTATACACATTCAAACCACACACTAGCTTAGCAGTCTAGCCACTTAACTAGTAACTTACAGTACGAAGTATGGAGGAGGTCCAGGAGGAGGATGCAAAAACGAAAAACAATGAGCAAAACAATGAGCAGCAAACTGAGGGGGAGAGTAGTGATTCACCGCCACCACCAACAGATTCACCATCCCCCTCATCAGTTACTGACCTGTGTGTTACTGATGTACCTGATGAGCATTACTCAGAAGCATATTCTAAGGCATACTTCGACGATCTTTTTGGTCCAGCCTCCACGGTATGTTAGTTGTATATATTAAGTTTGTGTTTCATGACTTTGATCCTAAAAGGTTAGAGTAGAGGCATATGTTATTATATGTAAAACATAATACGTACCGATAGGTATCATACTAGTATTAAAAAATGAAGCAGTTAATAAAGAGGGGTTTCTTTATACGATACTATATGAGTAGATTGAAGCTGATTTTCAAAACAGTAATTACTTTTACATATGGATAAATATATAATTAAGAAAGTCATATACATGGAAAAACATAATGTCACTGTTAAACTTAAACATAATTACTTTTATGTCATTGCCAGATTTTCATATCACTAACAAATGTCAGTTCTAGATTTAGGCCATCTCCAACAGTTAACACCATTTTTTACACTAAAATGGTGTAAACATCACATCAAACAATATTTTATCTCCAACAGTTTACACCATTTTCATCACCAAAAAGGAATATTCTGTTTTTATTCTTTTTACTAACTTTTTACCATTCTTCTATTTAAGTATCTAACTATCATATATTTATACATTAGCCCCTCATTTAATATTTTGACATTTAACAATATTTATAATATTGTGTGATTTAAATTTTATTATATTTTTTATATCAAATTAATAATTTTAATTTGTTTTTCTATAAGGATGTTTTTACTTGGACTGTAATTTGTCTCGGGATCAGATCAGACCTGATTAGACCACACTTGGCCGGGTAGTTATAAAAATACAAAGAAATCAAACCAGACCACATCATTTCAGATCAGACCAGATCAAATCAGACCAGACCAGACCAGAGCGGACAAACCAATTTCAGTCCAAGTAAAACATCCTAATTTGTTGTTTTAAAAATGGGTCAAAACTATAATAATTAAAAGTTGAAGGTCACATTTAAAAGGAAAATAAATTAAAAAAGGTGGATGGTGTTGAGAATGGTGTATGCCATATATGGCGTGAAGCCATCTCCTCTCCACCAAAATGGTGTGATGGTGTGGAGAATGGTGTGATTGTTGGAGAGGATTTTTGGCAAAAACACCAAAATGGTGTGTGATTTGGTGGTCTCTTGGAGATGGCCTTACAAGTCACTGCCTTTGTGAAACATGTCATCATGACCGCTAGAACGTTTTCCGGCGAATTTAAAAAATTAAATGAAAACAGAATTGATATCATCAAATTTCCGACAACTTTTCTGGAAACGGTTTCCGGCGGTGGTTCCATCAGCATCTGGGAAGGTGTAGGGAGAGGGGGCTAAGGTAGAAATTGAATATAAATTACAATGGAAAAAAATTGGATTAATTAAATAAAAGGTTAGTCATATTTTATACTTCGTATAAAAAAAGTAATGATTTTTTTGTATTTTAAAAAGCTATAGGTAATATACAGAGTGCACAATTACTATAAACAGAGTGCACAATTATTAGTTTATTAAAAGAAATAATAGTCCCTCGACTCCCTCGGTTGCCAGGTTATCCTTAAAAATGGGTTTTGCAAGGAATTAAGAACACTTCACTAACTACTCAACGGACAACTTAAAGCCTAATCAAATCAAAAGGAAGATATTGCCCCATAAAGCACCCACCATATGGTTGCTTCACACCATGGTCATCACAAAAAACACCCTAGAGTCCTTCCTGACTACTACTACCTCCGTCACAAAAAATTGTTCTCACTTACCATTTTCGGACGTCCCAAAAAATTCTTCATGTTTCCCTTGTCGGAAAGGTTTGTGTGACTATCATTCATTTACCTTTTTCTTACTCAACCACAACCATACATTTCCGCTTTATTCCCACTTTCTTAAACTCCGATCAAAGTCAAACTGGGGAGAATTTTCTGGGACGGGGGAGTAAAACCAAAAACAACAAAAATGTAACCAAAACTAAAAGCATGAAAATAAAGCTAAAAACAAAATAAATACAGTTGAGCACTTGCTAAAAACAAAATAAAGCTAAGCGCCTAAGCCTATTGTCTAGAGGTCACTCCAATCTCATTTTTTCCGTCACTAATATCAACCTCCATCATTGTATGTGTTGCGCTTGATGTTTCCACCCGGCGCTGCTTTTGCTCAGCTACTTGTACAACTTCTTTCTGATTCCCCGATCCTTAGCCTCACCTACAAAAATATCAGCATGTGAATCCACTACTTGTTTGGTTTCTCTTCCTATCAGAAGTCACTTATTTTCCCCCACTTCCACTGTCATCTGCGTTGATATTGGGATATAATTCTGCATATATAGTCGGTACATAGTTGAAGTATATATATACGGAGACACGGAGTACAAGCTAAGGTTTCAACCAATTCAATAAGGCCTATTTTTCTTTTAGCACACTAAACCGTACCATAATAGTTGAGCCACGCCGTATCTGGTCGGTCACTTAAGATCGTTACGTAATTATGTTCTCTTTGATTGTGTATGGTTAGGGACTGTGGAATTACATTGGCCCGGGAGGGATATACGCCAACAATGCCAGAAGTAGAGTCCCACCAGGTATGCGTACTTGAAAGTTCTAGCACCTAAAACATCAGGAATTTTATCAATTCAGGACCCGAAAGATAGATTAATTATCAATTCAGGACCCGAAAGATGAAACGTATCGGTATAGGACCCGAATGATGGACAACTATCAATTTAGCACCTAATATTTCACAGGTTTTGATTTATTTAATTTTTTTAATTTAGCACCTAATATTTCATAGGTTTTGATTTATTTAATTTTTATGAAGAAAGAGTCGTGCTTGGGGTACTCCAATTTATACCCTACCGTCTGCGTACACAGACATTTAGACAGAAAGTCCTGCTCTCTTTCAAACGAATTGCCTGTGTACACAAGCAATTCAGGGGTGGGTACAAAATGGGGTACATTTTGGAGTACCTATGGAATTTTTGATGCAAAAAAGGGGTGGAAAAGAAGGGTGCGGGCAATGACGTTTTTATGTTTAGATGATATGCCAAGAACAAAAAAGAGTATACTACTACGTAATAAAGATCAGTCTCACCCAAAAAAAAGATCGGTCATTTCGACTTTTCTTGGTCAATCGGGTTCTTGTTTAACCATTTATATTTTTAATATAAAATCATTTAAAATATGAAAATTATATGAACATATACTAGTACTGCGTATTATTTATTAAAAAATCTTTCATAAAAGTATAAATTTATAAATTACACAGAATTATAATATCTGAAGTCACTGTCTAAACTTTAACCTCACTGATTAAGAAAAGTCAAATTAACCAAACTTTTTGGGACAGAAGTAGTATTTATTTATTTATTTATACAATAATACTCCCTCCGCTTCAATTTCTTTGACACACTTTCCTTTTTGGGATGTTTCAAAATGAACACACTTCCTTATTTTCTTATTTGGTAAACATAAATATATGTCAAAACAGTGCAAAACAGTGTCAAACAATGCCAAAACAGAGTACTCTACGGGAATGTTTAATTGTTTACCCCTCAGTAAATTCTTTTCCTTTTGATCGTCAAAATAGATGACTTAAATTGCTATTAAAGCATTCAGAAAGCGTATAACGACAAAAGGACCATAGGCAACCACCGCCAGCCCTCGAACCAGACTTAGAGTCAATCACCTTAAAAAAAGCATTATAACTCGTTAATCCTAACATGAACATAAATGATCCAACGATGGTTAAAGCAGACCTCCCATCACCCAATCCAAATGCAAGATTATTACACCAATAAAAATAACTAACAGAAAAATAAACAAACTGATCATGAAAAATAAAAAGCAAGCAAACAGTAAAATTAAAAAACTACTTCCAAATCCTAACTTCTCTGGCACTCCATGGCGGCAGTTCAGGAGGGGGACGGTCAAACAGTACTATAGCTTCTTTTGCTCCTTGCCTCCAGTCTAGATCTGTTCTAGCACCTAGCCCCACGCTTCATCCATGCCCTTCTGATCTCAACCATAAACGACATCCTCGAAACTCTCCACATGCTGCTAGGGTACACAACCTTTGGCTGCCATATAGGCGTTGCAGTCTGCCGAAGAAGAGAGTCTCACGAAAGGCGGACGAAAGCCGCACAAGAAAGTCGCACTTCGTCAAAGACGAAAGCAGAGAAAACAACCCCTAAACCTATGGGAGACGACCGCTGCTTGCTTTGCCTCCCTAAACCTAGGGGAGACGACCGCTGCTTTCTTTGCTTGTGCCGCCGAAACTTCGATCGGCACTTCAAACCCCACGGCGGCAAAAGCTACTCGCAATATACGAGAACCCCATTAAATTTTTTTCTTTAATCTTTGTGAAATCAAACTGTGTCTTCCAAATTGAAAAGGAGGGAGTAATATTAATAATAATGGAAGGAGTTGCCTTTATACATTATTAATTCCCATATTTTTAGGAAGTCCATTTAAAATGCCACTTACATGTCCTAAACTGTTACACAGAATCTGATCAACTAATAATACACTAATAAAATAAACATGCAATTCCTCCAAAGCAAATACATTCGTTAATTTTTGGATGGCACTAATGGAATTACAATTAATAAAAACAATACATAGATAGGCATGACTATGTGGGAATAAACATGAATGTCATAATGATGGTATTTTTTTTCTATTTCATATTTATCATAGTGATAATTATCCTAGATATTTTGCCAAAAAAATTATCTTATATATGAGTAAAACTCATTCACTTTTCTAATATATAAATTTATTAGTTTTTTCCCAAAATAATACTTAAATCCATAGTACGTAATATTTAATTAATAATAAATAAATAAATAAATTTTATGGACTCATATGCCCTTAATTGTTATTATAAAACCCGAAAACTTCCTACACATTTTCTCAAAACCCTAGTCACCAGCCAATGCCTCGCCGCCTCGGCATCACCAGCCCCCGTCGTCGCGGCATCTGTGCAGTGATTATTACCGGATGTGCAGTAATGTCGTGCAATAATGACAATATAAAGTGCGTGCAATAAATGTAATTGAACGAAATTAGTGCAAAGTGCACATATTTTAAATAAGGGTATTTTCGTCATTCAACATTTAGATATAAACCTTTTTTTTGAATTTTCGGTCATACAAATGTCTATAAACTAAGTTAATCATATTTAAGGAAACTCAATAGGTTCTAGTCATACTATATGGGAATGCAGATAGCGAGATAATCGTAACGATGATCAAAATTATGAGTTGACAATGCAAGAGAATGACTTATAGATTTGGGAAAAGTACGAAAAATGTAATTGTGGTTAGTACCGTTTTTATATAGGGTCATGTGTTTCATTTTTTATCAAAGCGGTTTCATTTTTTAGATAGGTCCGTTATCACAAGAGGATCACGCCATTAAAAACGTCTGAAAAAAACCGTTAAAAGTAACTCCAATTTTCAAAAGTGTCCGAAAAACTAAAAAAAAAAATTGGAAGGAGCGCCTCAATAAGAAAAAATCATTACAATGCAAGAGAATGACTTATAATTTTTTATTACTCCTATAATATTATGAGAGTATATGGAATACATCAACATGCTCATTTATCACGTTAGTGTCAGTGTTCTAAAACACTCCAAAAGGCAGCGCATAAGCGAGAATAGGCGCAAGGCGTATTAAAAACGCCTCGCATACCTACTATGCGTGCCAAAAGGCGGCCCAAACAAAAAAAACAATTAAAATTCGACTATGGAGCTAATATTAGGCCTGCGGTAAAGTTGAAAACCCATTCAATTAGCCCTACCCTAGAAAGTTGTCATGTGGAGCATTATATAACCGAAGTGCATGGACGAATCCATCCATTGTTCCGGTGTGGGAAATGTGAACAAAAGGAAAAGAAGCCTTGGCCTTATACTTTGCACAAAAATTGTTGTACCTATTATTATAGTTATTATTATAATTATTATTATAATTATTATTCTAACTTTGTATTATTTTACTACGTATTGTATTGGTATTATTACAAGTTTTATTATCAGACTTTTTTCTAAATCCAGTTTTTTATAATTAAGGATGTACTTCAATAATTTTTTGTAAAAGTTAAAAACTCTAATAATAATAATAATAATATGGTGAGCCTAATAATATTGTTATTATTATAATTAATGTTACTATTAGTGTTACTGCTAATTAGAGTATCATTATTCTTAATATCACTATTTGTATAAGGAGGTTTTTATTTGGACTATAACTTGCTGGTCTGGTCTAGTCTGGTTTGATCTATTTAGATTTGTTCTAGTCCAACCTGATATGGAACTGAAAACAGTCCAAGTAAAAACATCCTAAGTGTCGTTACTATTATTATAACTATCATTATTTTTGTTATTGTTATAATTATTATTATAACTATTATACTACCATTCAATTACTCTTTCCAATTCTAGTTTCATATTGAGTGATAGGTAAATTTATATTTTGTGGAGTACAAAACTATTTTTTGGGGAGTTCAGAAAAATTGTTGATCTTATTATATGATACTACTGGGTACTACGTATTATTTAATATTAAATTGACATACTTAAAATTTTTGGTCTCAAGTCACATTTTTATGTAATGTCCTTATCTTAATTATATATTAGGTATTATTTTTTATGTAATGTACTTATTTACATTTTTATGTATTTTTTTTGTTGAAAATGATAAAACTATGATGTTTTTCAAAAACATTATATAAATGTTTAAAATAGCTCTAGGAAATCTAAAATAAATGATAAAAACATCAAAACGCATTTTCACGCCTAAACCCGCCTAGGCTCCAAAGGCTTAAGGCTCGATCGTGCCGCTTCGGCACGCTTTAAGCCTCTTAGAACATTGGTTAGTGTACACTTCAATGCGCACGTCATGATCCATTTAATTTTTCCTAATATTATGGATTTAAACAAATTTCCAGATCAAAGCGGCATGAGTGGGGAGACAAAGATTTTGATGCCTCGGATTAGTGAAGGAGATGAATGGCCTACCAATTTCACTACATCAATATTTTATGGAGCTCAGGATGTGGTTGATATCGCCCCGTCTAATCATGTATCTTTCAATCTTTGAACTATCCAACTTTTTATTTTTATTTTTATTCTTTTTATACTCCCTTCGTATCTATTTATCTAATCCACTTTCCCTTTTGAGACGTATTATAATAAACGTTTAATTCCTTTTTTTGAAATAAACGTACTCAAAAAGCAGCTACAGTATCACTGCAGTACTGCTATAGTACCACTACAGTACCAAAAACCTCTCACTTTACATATATTTACCTTAAACTACGTGAAAAAGCATACAAGTCAATTAAATAGATAGGGAGTAGTATACTAGTGAATCTCTAGCTTTCATTTCAATTAATTTAGCCTGGTCAAATCCTGAAGCCTGCTTCGGCTAAGAATGAAATCTCATTGTCTGTACGACCGTACATGAAAACGAACGAAATGAATAAGTAATTTAAGTATCATTAAAGATATTTTTATTTCGATTTATTTCAATGATAAGTCACATCATATCAGATCAAACTAAATCAAACCAATTCAAACAAAATCACAGTAGACTTAAATATATTACATCATAATAGATCAAACTAGACTAGAATAGAATGTTTTAGCCCAACTAAAAAAACTTCCTAATAAATCAGCTCTTATTGTTGTGCACTTTTTTTTCTATCCACCATTACACACGTTTGTGAAAAGGCTATTTTCCCCCACAAGTATAAATGTTTCTAGAGCTCAATGCATGTAATTTAATTTCTCTAATATTTTATGTGAATCAATACTTTTTTGTTTACCCCACTAACGTTTAAACCGAGTATAATTACTCTCTACCGAGATATTGTCAACTAATCATATTTCTACCTAGATACGATGCGATTACCCCACCTTTTATGTTTTTATTTCCTCAAAAAAGAACTTTTTAGTAATGCTTTATTTTGAAAATCAATAACTTAATTATTATTAATAAGGGTAAACAGAAACATAACAATCAAAAGCCGAAGAATTACAATCACAATGTTCAATGCTACACTAGGGTGAGATAAAGAACAAAAAAAACATATAAAAGCTATCATGTTCCCTAACCCTGCATTTATGTAGACTCGTCCTGCAATTTGACTGCTCTTGCTACTCGAAATAGGTCTGGTTTGACCAGCCACCGAAAAGGATTTATTAAACTTGCCGGTTTTTCCAGCCACCGGTAAGGAGCCAAGTGCAGAAATTGTTCCGGTTTCACCAGCCACCGGAAAGAAAGTAATCCATTCACTCCCATCTTCCTTGTTCGGCGGTGGTTCAGGAGGAGGGCGATCGGCCTCTATATTGATACAGAAGAAATCTTGATTCAAGATCACTAGAGAAGCCAATACACATCTCTTACTAACACCCATGAACACCCGACCGATGATGGCGGGGATATAAATCTGGCGAGCGAGTCTTCGTCACCGAAAATAATGTCTCTAGACAATGCTAACAAATAGACGTATGCATAGAACTGAATATATTGATCTAACGAAACTTTTTTCATAATTGGGATCAAAAGAAAATTGAACAAAGAGAGGAAGAAGAAGAGGCGGCGGCTAGGGTTTCCCCTTCGCCGCTCCTCAGCAAGTAATCAGTTTTTTTGTAATGCTTTTTAAAAGCTTTATTTGTGATGCTTTTTTTTTCAAAAAAAAGTTTGAACAAGGAGTCGAGGACAGCCGCCCTCTAATTCATAATAACCTTTTGTCTCCATTAAGCTAGAGAAAACCAAATGTGCTAAATTTGTGGAAAGAGCGTTGGTACAACAGTACCTCGCTCAGGCAAAAACGAGCAATATAATCCTTCGACGGTGGTCCATGAGCAGGGGCCGTCAATAACATTTGGGCCCTAAATATTAGGTTACAATTTATTTAAAATAATTATGTTATCATTATATTTTTCTATATAAAATACGCAGTAATACTTTTATATTGTTCTTTTAAATACACTCGGTTTTTGAATTTCCAAAACTCAGAACACTTTTCACAATAATGTCTATTAACTTTTTTCATACTTTATTTGAATGCGTTCTCATTGACGTTTTAGCTGAAATTTGGTATGAGTAAATTAGACTTAATGAATAAGATGCTCAAAAAATTTCATCAAAAAATTTCACCGGTACTGCCCCAAATGGCGACGGGCGGACAGAACCTTCTATATAAGGGCTTATTTGACCTTTTTTGTTAGTACGTAGGCTTATTTGCCCCCTTTTTTAAAAAAAAGTAATGATTTTTGGTATTATAGCAATATAATTTACTTTATTAAAGTGGCTTTTGGGATGGTTTTCTTTCCAAAATGGAAGTGAGACACTTATTTTGCTAAAGTTTAAAAAAACAAAGTCATATACTTATTTTGATACGGAAAGAGTACCATACAATGATGTTACGTTCATACACCAATTTTGCAATTTGTCCATTACAAAATGGGATAATATATACTCCGTATTTTGTATACGATAATATATTTTGGTAAATTTATATTCACAATATTTGTATGGTAAAAGTTGAATTCTTAAATTACATCTCCCCAATATAATATAATATAATACATTCTATTGTGGACCAGTCTAAGATCAAAGATGGAGATGAAGAGACAATTTTGAAAAACTATGCTACAAGAGGAGGAGATTGGTGGAAGGGTACATTATCTACTGACATTATTATTATTCTTGCTCCAAACATTGGTCAATGGACAATGTTGAATAAATACCTTTTAGTTAATAGGGTTTGTAATTTCTTTGGTTTCTCTTTAGGATCGTACAACTACTGACGAGACTAAAGGTTGAGGACAAGATTTAAAGCTTAGGTTGGAGCTCCATGCAAGTCTCAAAACAGCACCTCGTTTCCATCTCTTCCTTTTCTCTATCTTTTTTCATTCCTCTTTGAATAAGCTAAGTTGTAAGCTACTGTAATCCTTGCATTTACCCGTGTATCTCACATTAATGGATATTGTTGTCAAGTTCCTCAAGAACATTTACTTTGAAATAGAGGACCTAATTAGGGGGTAGGGTCTTTCATGCTTCATTCAAAGAATAGTATTTAATTGCCACTGGAGTACCAAGAAGTACTACCTCCGTATCACTTTAAGAACCCAGTAGATGACGAGCATTTTGTCACGGTGCGTCAAAATAAATTCAATACTAACACTTATACATAGTATAACGTAGTAGAGTACGTATCCACAGGGAAAGGAATAATTCTCTTTTTAGTAAAACTAGTAAATAATAGGGGTTTTGGGATTGAGTGATTTAATTTAATTAAATACGAAGATGAACGACTTATATGAGATTTAATTCAAAGATAAAAAGGACTTGGCATTGCTACTACTTTCCACTAGTTGATATATTTTAGTTGATCATTGTTATATCTATAACTTATCCCCTCTCGAATACTCAATCGAGGAGTATATCCAATTCATCGAGGGTAGTTATTAACAACGACCGTTCATTAATAACACTTACTATTAGTCAAGTATAGAACACCGCCATATACCGACTTGATAGTAGCATTTAATCTCTTAACTCCTTGATGAAATCAATTGAGATTGATAACCTCAACACAACGGTTTCGGTTTAACCAACAAAATTAATCCCTCTTAAGTTTATTAACCACGACCGTGCATTAATAAACCGAAGTTACTTACTTGTGAAACCATCAACGATTAACAAGCGTATTCGTCGATCGATTCTAGTAATAATTAATATATGAAACAAAACTAGTTGATCCTTTAAGTAATGTTCAAAATATTAATATGAAATATGAATAGGAATTAATTAATATTCAAGGAAGAATATTAAAGATGATAAATCCTACTATAACTAATGTCAAGATGTTAACTAATTGTCATCTTAGCAACACTCCCCAACATTAATATATAGAGGAAGAAAATAAATACTACTATAACTAATGTCGAGATGTTAGCTAATTGTCATCTTAGCAACACTCCCCAACATTAATATATAGATAGATTAAGGGAAGAATTACTATTCAAGGGAAGAAGTTAAGAAAATAACCCACAACTTTAATAATCAACAAGCTTCAAGAGCAACGCCAAGAAATGGAAGTTTACCTCCTCTTTTGGAGACTAAACATGTTATAAAAATATAAAAGAAATACTATTCTAAACTGAGCTTAAGAGTATGGAGGAAGGGATTATTAAAAGTGAAGGAAAAGTGTGCTATTTATAGGTGTTTTCAACACGCTAGGGCAGATACCCGACCGGGTAAATGGGCATACCCGATCGGGTAATTGTCAAAATCAGATAATTGCCCACGATTTCGTGTTTTCAGCACCTCAGATTGTCCCCGGTCAAGTCTAGTGGGACCGATCGGGCCATGTAGTTTCCTTGCTAGTTCGGTTTTCACTTCTTACCCGACCGGGTGAAGATTTATACGCGGTCGGGTTTTAGCTCCTGGGCAGTCAAATCTCCTTTTTCTTCACTTCAAAGTTCTCCTTTTCAACACCATAATTCCTAACTCTTTTTTACAACTACAAATGATGATTAAAATACAATTACAACTAAAATCACACAAATGTTCACAAACTAAATAAAACGGTAAACAATCCACACAAATCAAACATAAAAACATACTTTTATGCACTACTAAGGGGGTGTTTGGATCTGATTCTCAAAACCGATTCTGCTGCTTCAGGGAGCAGAAGCAGAAGCTGGAGTGTTTGGGTGAAATTCCAGAAGCACTTCTGGAGCTCTAATTTATCTCAGAATCAGTTTTTTAGAATTACACTACAAGAAATCACACTTTTTATGACGATTTTTTGTGTGACAATGAGATTTTTGTCACATTTTGTTGTTCAATAGTTACGAAATTCATACTTGTCACTATAAAATGATTTGTTATGACAACATTTTCATTTGTCGTTATAGGTATCATTTCTCGTCACTAATTGTTACAATTAATGATGATAATATAAAATATGTCACTTTAGCTTTAAATTTTTTACCGTGACGCCCAATTTTAGGAGGGAAATATTTTAATGACAAATTCAAAATAATTAATGACAATATATGTTGTCAGTTAAATTTTAATTTTTATGACAAAAGCTTATTGTCATTAATATTTTTATAAGACAATGACAATATGATTTTCTCATTAATGCTCCCCTGTCATGACATATACGTAAATGCAACGCACTCTTTTTCTTTCTTTTCTGATTTTCTCACGCACTCACACACACACTCTTTTTCTTCTTTTCTCCCCCTCAAAGTATTCCTCACTCTTTTATTTTCTCCCTTTTCTCCCCCTCAACACATGCAACGCACACCACACACACACACATTTTATTCAGACCATGGAGATAACACAATTACAAAGGATCGAGATTCAACATGCCTAACTTAGATACTAAGAACTGGAATCTCTTGTCATCCAGTGCCTTAGTAAATATGTCAGCCAGTTGAAACTTAGTGCTAACAAAGTATAAATCAACATCTCCTTTCTCCACATGGTCCTTGATGAAGTGGTAGCGCAGATCGATGTGCTTGGTGCGCGAGTGATGAACGGGGTTGCTGGTTATGGCAATTGCACTCTGGGAGTCACTGTAGATCGGGATGTGATTGAACAAGAAGCCATAGTCTCTGAGCTGGGTCCGCATCCATAGGATTTGTGAACAACAACTAGCAGCCGCAACGTATTCTGCTTCGGCTGTAGAAGTTGACACACAGTTCTGCTTCTTGGAGGACCAACAGACTAGCTTCTCTCCCAGAAATTGAGCACCACCGGATGTACTTTTCCGGTCTAACTTGCAACCTGCAAAATCAGCATCTGAGTATCCGACAAGGTCAAATCCTGTTTCCTTAGGATACCAAAGACCCAAGTTGACTGTTCCTTTGAGATATCTTAGGATTCTCTTTACTGCATTCAGATGTGATTCCTTAGGATTTGCTTGAAAGCGAGCTCACAGACAGGTTGCGAAGACAATATCCGGTCTACTAGATGTCAGGTACAGCAAGGAACCAATGATAGCCCGATAGTTGGTAGCATCGACGGATATCCCGGACGGGTCAGAGTCGAGCTTCTGTGAGGGAGACATAGGGGTTTTCATGGTTGACTTGCTGTCCATCTTGAATCTCTTGAGCATTTCATGGATGTACTTCGACTGGCTGATGAATATTCCGTCTGACATTTCCTTGATCTGTAGCCCTAGAAAGAAGTTCAACTCTCCCATCATACTCATTTCAAACTCAGTGCGCATCAAGTTGCTGAATTCTTCGCAGAAGTTCGGATTTGATGATGCAAATATGATGTCATCCACATAGATTTGTATCAGCATGATGTCACTGTTCTCTCGCTTGATGAAAAGAGTTGGATCTATCTTCCCCTTCGAGTAGCCTGATTGCACAAGAAAGTCAGATAGTGCATCATACCAGGCTCTCGATGCCTGTTTTAGTCCATACAGAGCTTTCTTCAGCTTGTAGACATAATGTGGGCGCTTAGGATCAACAAAGCCTTCTAGTTTTGCCACGAACACTTCTTCTTTTAATTCGCCATTTAGAAACGCAGTCTTCACATCCATTTGATAGACGGTGAAACTTTTATGAGCTGCATACGCAAGGAACAACCTGATTGCTTCAATTCTAGCCACTGGTGCAAATGTTTCATCATAGTCAATTCCTTCTTGTTGATTGTATCCTTTTGCAACCAGTCGGGCTTTGTTCCTTATGATCACACCGTCTTCATCCTTCTTGTTCTTGAAGACCCACTTGGTGCCAATTATTGTTTTCTTTGGGGGCCTTGGCACCAGGGTCCATACATCTAATCTTTCAAATTGATTAATCTCTTCTTGCATTGCGATCACCCAATCAGGATCTGCCAGTGCTTCAGAAACTTTGGTTGGCTCAGATTGGCTGATGAAACAGGAGAAGAGACATTCATTTGCTGTGTCTGTTCTTGTGCACACTCCACGACTCGGATCCCCAATTATTTGATCTACTGGATGTGCCTTCGTCCATTTCCGCTCATGAGTAAGAGGGATTGGAGTTATGATGGTATGAGTTGGATCCTCAAAGGTAGTGGATGTGGTTTGTTGAGGTGTGGAGTGCACAAGAGTTGTTTCAGGTTCTGTATCTGCTTGAGCTGGTAATTCTGGAACTTGTGCTGGTGAAGTTGTTTGTGTTGCTGCAGTGCCATGATCCTCAGTATCCTCTTGATCAGATGTAGGAGGTGAATCAGCTTCTTCTTCAGTGAGGTCAGGCATGAATGGTGGTAGTGCAGCTTCTGTCGGTGATTGTGGGTTGGCAGTGTGTGCATTCTCATAGAAATGTTCAAATAGAGAGTCAAGAATCGCACTGTCAGCTGTTGTTTGCTTTGTTACTTCAGCTCCATCAGATTGCTTTCCATTGGCAGAGATAGTGGGTTCTATCAGGAAATGTTCAGAAGCAAAGTCAGCCATCTCATAGAATGCTACATTGACACTCTCAATGACTGTTCTACGTTCATGCAAGTAGACCCGATATGCCTTTGATTGCGTAGAGTATCCAATGAATACTCCTTCGATAGCTTTCGGATCCATCTTGCTTCTTTCATTTCTGTCATTTAGAACGAAGCACTTGCAGCCAAATACTCTGAAGAAAGAGATGTTAGGAGTTCTATTGAAGAGAGTTTCATATGGTGTCTTGTTGAAGCGCTTGTGGATTGATGTTCTGTTCTGAGTAAAGCACGCAGTGTTGATTGCTTCAGCCCACATGAAATGGGGAAGCTTTGATTGGATGAGCATTGTGCGTGCTGCTTTAACAAGTGTTCTGTTCTTTCTTTCAACGACTCCGTTCTGTTGTGGCGTTTTTGCTGCAGAGAATTGTTGAGTAATACCTTGAGTTGCATAGAAATCAGCAAGAGACTGATTCTTGAACTCGGTACCGTTATCAGTTCTGATGGTTTCCACGCTCTTCTGCAGAAAGTTCTGGATTGTCCTGATGAAGGTTATGACGGTTTCTGCTGTCTCATCCTTTGTCCTCAGAAATTTGGTCCATGTATACCGAGAGAAGTCGTCCACAATGACAAGTGTGTATTTGCGTCCATTAATGCTTTGGACTCTCATCGGTCCACATAGATCCATGTGAAGCAGTTGTAGCAGCCGAGTGGAGGATGGAACAGGTTTC